AATACCATTTTCTTGCTTTCAAATTATAAATTAGTAACATATTTGTGTATGATAGGATGTAGGAATCACATTGAAATTATAAAATATCTCAAAATCATAATTTATTATGAAATAACGTATATACGTATTTTTTTCAAGACCTTCGATGTTCCAGTCGAGAGCTCAAGACATCAGCTGTATTCCTACCCCCTACCCCTACCCCCCACCCCCGAGATGACTTATTTAGATTTAGGTTGTTGTTATTTTGGTTGTAAGGATAATGTTCTTTTCACAAATATTACCAGAAGTGTTTTTTATGGCGGCATGTTTACTTTTGGCTATAGAAACATAGCTGTAGTGCTTCACCGCCCTATAATGAGGCGTCTTTAATGATACCCTTGTAGGCCTACAGTTCAATATCTTACATCAGTTAGGAATAGTAAAATAGTAATCTTTAAACTCTTGTTAAAGTATAAAGTTATTTTTTGTATAAAAGTATAAGGTTGATACAGTATAGTATAAAGTACTTTTATAAAACCTTTCGCCAATGCTGGCGTTCGCCTGGCGAAGCTTCGCCAGGCGAACATCTGAGTGAGGGAGGCCTTACTTTTAAACTAAGGCAGGTGTTCGCCAGGCCTGGCGAACGAAAGGGATCGCCAGGCGCTAACATCTTGGATTCCTGCTAAATCTAGCGCTTCGGCGAATGAAAAAAAACGCGAGAAAAAGCAAAAGGTTTTAAAAGTACGGGCCATAAAGTTAACCTTGTTGTAGTATAAAGTGTAGTATAGCATAAAGTATAAAGTTAATTTTGTTATAATATTAAGATATTTTCAACTTCTTTGTTATAGCATAAAGTTAAATTTTTACTCCTTTGTTATAGTATAAAGTGAGACTATTGCGGAAACAACATTTTCGTCTTCTCTCGAGGTTAATAATTAAGTTTAGGTTATGGTATGTGCACTGCAGGTGTAAACAAATTTGCGCTACATTTAGCGGGGCATTTATGGCGAAGATGTTAGCGCCTGGCGAACGCCAGCACTGGCGAAGGTTTTTAAAGTACGGGCCATACATACGGGTTGCTTGAGACTTGTATACTGATGGGGAGAGGGTGGGCCATACCCTACCATGCTGGCCCAGTGCGGGTTGTGCCCTTATAGTCTCTTTCTCTCTTCTCTCTCTCTCTCTCTTTGTCTGTCTGTCTGTCTGTCTGTCTGTCTCTCTCTCTCTCTCTGTCTCTCCCCTCTCTCTCTCTCTCTCTCTTTCTCTCTCCCTCCCCCTCCCCCTCTCTCTTTCTGTCTCTCTCTCACTCCCTCTCCCCCTCCCTCCCTCTCTCTATGTCTCCCTCCCTCTCTCTCTCCTCCCTCCTCCTCCCTCCCTTCCCTCCTTCCCTCCTTCCCTCCTTCCCTCCCTCCCTTCCTCCTCTCTCCCTCTCCCCCCTCTCTCCCAGTCTCCTTTTACGATAGCAGAAACATTCTTTTCACGTCCTCCAAAGCCACAGGGGAAAATAACGATACTACCACCACTATTAAATGCCAATTATGAAAACAATGATAATAAACGATATGCTGGGATTTTCTGAAACGATACAGCATATAAAAGAAAGAATACAGAAATTGACTGCCTGGGGTGAACTTCTCAAATATGTTCAGTATTGTGATAATGATAATGAAAATAATAAAAGTTAAATAATAAATAATAATGATAATAATAAAGAATTATAATGATGGTAATAAAAATGAGTATGATAATAGTAATTGAAATGATGATAGTAATGAAAATAATTATGATAATAGTAATAAAAGTAATAATGATAATAGTAATGAAAATAAGAATAATAGAAATGAAAATAAGAAGGATAATAATGACGAAAATGATACTGAAAATGAAAATAAATATGATAATACTACGAAAATGACAATGATAATAATAACAAACGAATAACACTCAGAACGCAAATGAATTAGGAAAATAATTACACGAAATGATCACAAAGATACCAAAAAAAAAATACCGCTTCTAGTTTATTTGTTTATATTTATAACCAAATTTTATTTATATTGCAGCAATATATCCTTGTCCTCGGCCCAAGACGGATTCGATTAAATAACAGTGAAGGAAGAGATGCATACCAAATAAGGGTTGCGTGTGGGAGAAGTTGTTGGTATTCATAGACTCACAGCTGTGGAGGAGTTTATGTAGATTTGATTGTGTGTGTGGATGTGTGTGGTTATGTTTTTTTTTTTTTGGTGGGGGGGTGGGGTGGGGTGGTTGTGTGTTTATGTGTGATTTGCTTGTGTGTGTGAATTTGTTTTATATTTTTTTTATTTATTTATTTTTATTATTATTTATTATTATTATTATTATTATTTTTTTTTTTATTATTATTTTTTTTTTTTGGGGGGGGGTTGTGTGTTTATGCGTGATTTGCTTGTGTGTGAATATGTGTGTTTATGTGTGATTTGCTTGTGTGTGAATATGTGTGTTTATATGTCTTTTGGGGGGGTTGGCTGGTTGCGTGTTTGTGTTTTTATGTATGTTTTTTTGTTTTTTTTTGGTTGGTTGCTTGTTTATGTGATTTTGCTTGTTTGTGTTTTTTGTTTGTGTGTGAATGCGTTTGGTTGCGTGTGTGTGTGTGTTTATGCTTGGTAGTTTGTTTTTGTTTATGTGTGTGTGTGTGTGTATGTGTGTGTGTATTTAAGCTTGGTAGTTTGTTTTTGTTTATGTGTGTGTTTATGTGTGTGTGTGTTTATGCTTGGTAGTTTGTTATTGTTTACGTGTGTGTATGTGTGTGTGTTTGTGTGTTTATGCTTGGTAGTTTGTTTTTGTTTATGTGTGTGTGTATGTGTGTGTGTATGTATGTGTGTGTGTATGTATGTATGCGTGTATGTATGTGTGTGTGTGTGTGTGTGTGTGTGTGTGTGTGTGTGTGTGTGTGTGTGTGTGTGTGTGTGTGTGTGTGTGTGTGTGTGTGTGTGTGTGTGTGTGTGTGTGTGTGTGTGTGTGGTGTGTGTGTGTGTGTGTGTGTTCGTGTGTTCGTGTGTGTGTGTGTGCGCGTGTGTGTGGGTGCATGGTGGGGAGTGTAAACCTATGGATGTAAGTGTTTTTTTCGTGTCTGTAAATACAGATCCAGTTGGAGTTAGTTATACGTGCGTGGGTGTGTGTATATCCGCATGAACACGTGTGTGTATTCAGGTGTGTACGTGAATAGGATAATACGGCGAGTAATATGAATATGTGGAAACAGTTGTATATTGATTTTCTGACATGAAATTATTTATTATTTATTTATTATTTTATTATTATATATTTATTATTTTATTATTATTATCTATGTATTATTTATTATTATTATCTATTTATTATTATTTATTATTTCAGTTATTTATTATTTCATTTATTATTTCAGTTATTTATTATTTCAGTTATTTATTATTTCATTATTTATTATTTCCCCTATCTAAAACAAAAGTACAATAAAAAAAAAGAAAAAAAAAAGAAAGTGCAAATCTTTAACATGCAGAAATGCT